TGGCAGGCTGGTGCTGATGTGCATGTGGTTAGCCCTAGAGGAGGTGACAGGGGGTCATGATGTGCTGCTGTGATGGAACAAAGCCAAGTGCATTAAGCTGAGCCACACACCCAGGTTGCCAGCGTTCCCTGTCGTGCCCCCCATGACAGTGGGCTCCCTCCGAGATCCCTACATGTTATTCCTTCTCACCTGCGTAGGAGCAGCCTTCCCAGGTAACCAAGCCCCTGGAGTCTTATCACTCATTCCCTGATGAGGGTAGTCAAGTGGGTGGAGCACCACTGGCTCAAGTCTTTCTCTTGTCATCCTTTGAGTAATAGATCTGCCTCTAATTCAGCAGAAAACCTAGTTTTCTGCTTTGTACAAGCTGGATGCTAAATGAGAGCCAAGCAGCCTTAGCTCTTAGGACTGGTGCTGTAAGCCTTGCCAATAGGAGCTGGGCTGTGAAGCTGTGCTTTGGAAAACATCGCATTGCTTACAATAAAATATATGGCATTTCATAGCCCCAGCGGACCCCTTGTGTGGCTTGGTGCTTGACTCTAACCTCCAAGGACTGGCTGTCTTGGTTATGCTCACTGTGCTTTCTCGTGGCTTAGGCGGTGCCTGGTATACAGCGGATACTGAGTGTTTGTCCAAGGGGTGCATTTACACAGTCAAGGGATCACTCTGTGTCTGTCCATGTGGGGCTTCACAGAGGTATTTTAAAGTAGAATTTTATTTTAAAAGTGAAAGAAACATGTCTACTTTATAGATCAAGGTATACAGTGAGGATGATGTAGTCCAGGAACCAAATTCACCCTAGTGAGAACTTATTTGCCTTGTGCTTCCTGTTCTCTGGATGTAGTCCCGGCTAGCCGTCAGCCTGTCCCTCATTACTGGTGCTGTAGTTCCTTAGTAATGAAGGGAAGAATCAAGGTGTCATCTCAGTAACTATCACAACAGCTTTGTGGATAAAACCCTTGGAAAATATTACCTGGTGCCTGGCAGGGAATTCTTCATGCCGCAGCTGCTCTACGAATGTCTTTTGGCACTGATGGGACAGGATGACAGCAAGGCCTTAAAATAAAGGGCTGACGAAAATAGTATGGTTTTGAGCAAAATAGGAAAGATGGACAGAGGTGGGGTGTTTTCATTTCTGTGGTTCTGGAAATTGAATTTAGGACCTTGGGCACACTAGGTAAGTGCTCTACCACTGAGATACAGCCCCAGTGCTCTTAAAATTGTATTATGGAGACAGGGTCTTGCTAAGTTGCACAGGGTGGCCTCCAACTTGTGCTCATCTTGCTTTAGTCTGCTGAGCAGCTGGGATCGCAGGCATGTACCTCTGTGTGCAGCTGGTGGTGATAATTTTGATCGGGCAGACATAATCATGACCAGGAAGCTGCCCATGCTTTCAGTGCTTAAAAATTAGGTGTATTTGTGCTATAGCTCATAAAAATTCTGAACCAAAATAACAAGTAAAGAGAATACTGTCTCCATGTGTTATAGACTTTCAGATACAGAGAGGAAACCATTCTGGGGAACAAAGATTTCTTATTTGCAAATTCTGTGCATTAGATTTTGTTAAACTCTAACATTTGTATGTGAGTATCTGGTACTATGCATTGAACCCAGGGCCTTCACACCCCAGAGCGCTTCCCTTGAGCTATAGCCCTAGTCTTTTCTTATCTTTTATTTTCTACTTTAAAATGGGAACTTGTCAAGTTTCCTAGGCTGAGCTCAAACATGAAACTTCCTTGCCTCAGTCTCTCAGCATAGTGGGGTTACAGGTTATACCACTATGGCCAGCTTCTTTGACACTTTAAAAAGCCTATTTTTTTATTTCTCAGAAATTATCTTTCTTTTTTTTTCCTTTTTTTTCCCCAAAGTTTTATTGATAAACAGATAGCAATGAGACAGTTTCAAATCAA